CTCCCACGGCGGGGTGTGGCAGGCAGCCGACGACGCTGGATGTGGAGCACAGAGACTTCTCCCCACGGCTGCTTTAGGAAGTGGGTCAGCCTCCGAGCGAGACAAACACACATCGGGTGCATTTAAAAAAACCCTTTGAGACCGTACGTCTTCGTCTTGTAGGATAAGGATTGTTCCTAAGCAACAGCCAGACACGGGCCCTCATGGGTAGCCGTTAAATTGATGTGCATTTTTTCTTTTAAATTACGTTTCATTGTTGAAAGGCCAATAGACATTGAGAAAGGTGCATTCTTCAGTCGGGGACGTGTGGGAGCACAAGGCCTCCAGCAGCAGATGACTTGATTTGAATGGGGACAACTTCCCCGACCTGCTTAGCTCTCTGAAGAGGCCACCTTCGCAAGCAGGTGGGAGGTTTCTCCAGCCCATAGGGTGCAGCCAAACAAGGCAGACGTGAAATCCTCGCTGTCCCTCGCAGCCGAGCAGGACTCCAGGGGATGGGGCACCTGGGAAGACCCCAAGCAGTGTGTTTGCTGGGAAAGATGTCTCAATCGCTGCTCTCAGCGTGTTTAAGATTCTACAGGTCCACGTTCAAAGTCCTCGGGCGGAGGTGAGAATCCTGGCAATGGGCTGCTCCAGCCCAGAAAGTGCTGGACAAAAGGCAGGTCTGCCTGTTGGACACTGCTCGGTGTCTCCAGATGCCTGGTGCCTCTGCAGCCCCTCCGTGGGTCTGTGTAAGCCACACAGCGAGAAGGCAGCGTCTCCTCACACCCAGATGCTCAACTTGCCTTTAACTTCTTGCTTTCCCAGGAGGAGCCTTTGGTGACATCCCATGGGCACCAGCATCACCATCAACACCAAGTCGCGAGGTCACAGCACCTCCTGGCCACTCAAGGTCCTGGCTCCGGTTCACCACTTGCTGCTGTGCTCTGTAGGGCCAGAGTACAAGAATTCAAAGCCCCTGGGCAGTGTGTCCTCACCGCTGCATGAAAGTTCTCCGTGCTGTTGGCCAACACTCATGCTTTGTGAGATGAGCTCGACACTCTCTGTTGCAAACAGAGCTGGTCGGACCCTCACAGGACCCTTAATCCGCTCTTGCTATGCCTGGCACGAGCTGCTGCCCGCTCGCCTTTCTGCCGAGACCTTTATGGTGCCCCTAGAAGGACCATGTTGTTACCTTCTGTGGTGCAACCAACGGAGAAGACACCCACCAAATGCAACGTGACGTGGATACTTGTGACCTTGGTGGCGTGCCCGTGGAGCAGCTCACCTCGTGTCCCTCTCGCGGTGTTGTGGTGGGGGGTCAGGGGTTGGGTCGCTCGTCCCGGGGCAGTGGCAAACCAGGAGGTCTCCTGCATGTCCTTCCTGCTAATAAAGGCTTAAAAAGCTCGGACCGTGTGTTTGCATTGATTAGAAACCAACGAGAAGGAGCCACCCTTGGCCGCAGCCTCGTTGCATCCCAGGGATGCGCCAGCCGCGGCGGCAGAGCAAGTGGTGCCAGCCCGACAGGATAACCCCGAATCTTGGGGCATATTCTCATGAAATAAAGTTGCCTGTTAGTGACATAAACCCCAAACTAACATCAGAATGTCAGCAGGCAGCACAAAAACCTGGCAAAGGAAATGGTGATGAAGTTTAAAAAACAACGTGAGCTGGATTTCTGGTGGGGTTCCCGTTCAACAGGGTAAATCCTGGACGGTTTCTCCGCAGCTGGCATCGCTTTAACGTCTCCGGTGCTCTGCGGCATCAAGAGGAGCTTGGGTAGAAGACCAGGGTGTCTTTTCGCTTCCCCAGTTCAGCATTTCCTGCCTTTTTGCTCTTGAATAGTGGGGCTGGAGCCGTTCTGACCTCCCTTCCCACCAAGAGAAGCCCGTCCCCACCTCGATCTGCCTCAGAGGGAAATCGAAGCATCCACTTATCACACGTCTCCAGGAGGGCTTCTTCAGCTGAGGCTCAGCTGAAAAAACACAATAAAGACTTGTCCTCAGCAGGATTTTTTTTCAGTGCCAGGTGAATGTCCTCAGGAGAGAGGGAAGGGTGTCACAGGGCTCTCTGTCCCCCCCCGAGACTCCCTCCACCTGGCTGGGAGGCTTTGGAGCCTTTCCTCATGCTCCACACCGCACAGAAATCCCCAAATCCCCATTGCACTTATCCTACCAGCTGAGCCAAACCTTTTGGCGACCTTTCCACCTCGTTAAGTGCTGTGGGAGCGGTGGAGGAGGATTTTCTCCCCCGTTCCCAGGCTGGGCTTGCGGCACACTCTGCCTGCCGCCTCCTCCCGATGCCAAGATCTTCCTGGCAAAGCCCAGGCACGTCCGCTGAGAGAGGGGCTTTATTTTTCTGCTTTCAAGACAAGCAAATGAAGAAGTTTCAGGTCCTGCTGGGGCTGTGGGACCTGCACCCCAAAGCCCTGACAGATCCTTCAAGTCAAAATCACTTTTGGCAGACCGAGGTTGCAGCATCCGTGACCAGATGGATGTTTCTCTGCCGTTGCTGTTGTTCAGAGGCAGGAGGAGCTTTTCCGGACTTTATGAGGATTGTTTCCCCCATGGGATGAAGAGGTCTGGAGAACATCACCGGCACGCAGCGTTCCTCACCCCTCGGGGCTCTGCAGGCCAGGCTCTCCTCCGGCTTAATCTCACGGCAAGTAAGAGCCAAACCTAAATCTTTTGACCTTTAGCTAAAGATGCAGAGAAGACAAACTGAAAGACTCTCATTATTTGCATGGAAAAGTCTTAAATAAGGAATTCACTTCAGCATCAGCCCTTATTTAATTTTTAGTCTTTAATGATTATCCAGCTGGAAAGAAGCAGAGATGCAGCTGGGACAGGCTGGGGCTGTCCCCACAGCTTCAGTTACTTTTTCCTTGAACACAAACCAACAGAAAGACAAGAGCAGCAAGGGACAGAAGGTGCAGGTTCTGGTTCTGGTGGGAGCAGGGGATGGGAGTGGGGTTTGTGGGAGTGGGGAGCTGGGACTGACGCTTTGTCAGCCATGGACATGTCTATGGGCCAAGGTCTCATTTAAGATTTGGGAGCTAACGAAGCCGTCATGGCCCGCGGGATCATGGGTGGCTGCTGTGACATGACACTCATTCCCATACCCCTGGTGTCCCCCAAAGGGGTCACAGTCTGTCCCCCAAGAGTGGATTCAACCACTGCCAGAAAGGAAAAGCATCGGGGCACAAAACCTGCTCGATCGTGGTTTTTCAGCTGGACATGGGCTTGGGTTGTTGTCATGGTCATGCTGGCAAATCCTGAGAGTAACGAAGGGCCAACTTTCCCGTGTTTTTCCGAAGTCACGTGAAATTTGCCATTCCACCCACCGCTCACCTTCACCTTCAGGGGTCGAGGCCAGGGGTGCAAACCCGCTTCTTCCGACAGGCAGCTGAGAAAGACAGATCCATTCCCTGCCAGGTCCCTGCAGGACAATAATATCGCACTGTTTGTGCAAGATCAGAGAAACAGAATGAAAAGCAGAAGTCCCTCTTCAGAGGGACCCACCACCCATTCATTCCCGTGATCTGAAATAATTTACAACTTTATTTTTTTTAAAAAAAATGTAGATGTGTGTAGATATATATATATCTATATCTATCCACATATATGAATCCTGGAGAACTGATCCACAAAAGGTAGGAGGTTTCCTCTTCTGTATTTCTGGACTAGACTAGAATTTGCAGTTACCGAGCACGAGGAGAACAAATCCCCGTGGCTGGGTTCCCTGCTGAGGTGTTTTGCTCGTCTCGCCAAATTACCTGCAGGAAATGGGAAAACGCTGTTTTGCGAGGGTGAGCTCCAACCCGAGCGGCTTCTGAGAATAAATTCAGAACCACTTCAGAAACCTGGTAGCTTCAGCCTTTAATTCAGAGAAACTGGATATATAAAGAAGAACATAATTTGTTTACTTAACGAAAGTAAATTAGATAAATGGGTGATGAAAACACGTTCGAAGGCTGATTCTGCAAAGCTTTCCTCAAGAAGGTACCCAGAGCTTTTGCTCCCAGAATCTGGTAAGAATAAAAGGGATAATTTTGTTGAACCATTGCCTGTTATTAAGACTTTGGCTGAATATTCTGCCTCCTCCTTGTAAACCTCCGTGCTGGTTGACAGCCCAGGGCTCTTGCCAGCTCTGGGTCTCAGCAACAACCCCCAAGAGCCTTCTGCCAGCCCGGTGCCAGGAGCTGAAGGGTACTCAGTCAGCCCAAAGGCAGACAGCTAAAGGGTTTTTTTAATTGGCGCAAGGAGCGCAGGGTAGGACCCTTGTAAGCAGCTCTCTCTGCAGTTCACATTCTGCTTTGAGGTTTTATCCGCTGATTTGGTAAAACTGACGAAAACCTCCAAGCTGGGGGTCTTTGCACATGGCAAGTGCTCAATCCCTACCGCACTGAGTGTGTCCCAGCTACAGTTAGTTTCTAATGCTGAGATTAATCCCTTTTTAACTGTTAAGATGAGGTACAAGATGATCTGCTTTTCAGCTGAGGACAATATTTTCGGTTTATGAATTCGTTCTCTATGTACTCGGGACATTTTGTGGGGCGAGACCTTCAACACGTACTCCTTGGAGTGAAACCCTCACAGTCGTGTAAATCCTTCCCAGCGCGTTATGGACAGGTATTTAAAGACCTCACGAGCGTCTGCCCTCGTGAGACGTGGTGGCCTGTATCTCCCCCAGCTGCTAGAAAATATGCCAGGTCTATTCAAGATCACGTGGTTCGAGTTGTCCTTGACTTGGAAACTGGTGAAACTGCACCTAGGGAGACTGCCATCGTCTTTCTGTTCACACGCTCCTCCTTAAACTGGTGATAATTAGTGACTTTGGTAGCTCAGGTCCTT